CGTACGGTGGCGAATTTCCGGGCTCCACCTATCACGGTCTGTATATGTTCCTCTCCTCCTGCCAGTGTTTCGCCAACGTTCAAAGCGGCTACCAGATGGTCACCCCAATGGCAGCATGCATACTCCAAAGCGCGAGTGAGGGTCCGTTTGCGACACTCGGCGAGATTGCTGATGGCGACGTAGTCCTCGTTTCGTGGCAGACCGCATATATTCGTGCGTACCAAATGGTTTTCCATGACGCGAAAGCAGAAGTCGGCAAGGTAGGCGTGATATGTCGGAGGATGTACGTAGAAATAGTCATCGATGTCATCTGATGTGGTGCCTTCCCTCTTTGCGGTGATGTGGTCACCAAACGAGGCGTGGAGGGGGCGGATAGGTCTGGTGTCGTCCTCTGGTACATGGATTACAGAATGCATATGGGTGAGCAGCGTCTGAATGGCAGAAGGTGTATACTCGCTGCCCAGCAACTCTGCCAGGTCATCCTTCGGAAGAGGGGTGAATACGAGCACTATCGCGGCGATGACGAGACGAAGACGGGATTTTGCTTTATGGTTATTGCGATCCGCCTCCCCTCGAAATGCGTCCTTAAAGACCAACCGATACAGGCGACCGAGCTCCTCGAGGCGGATGATCCTTTCTCCATGGGGTGTAGTCGGGGAAGTAGTGGTGAATTGATGAATAATATCAGCAGGACTCTGATAGCTGGAATTCGCGATGAATTTGCAGATGGTCGCAGCAAATATGAATAGCTGACCAGACGCTTTGACAATCGACTCGACATTTTCATCATTCGGGAAGGACAAAGGAACGTAGCCCTGGCGATTTTGTGCCATGACCTGAAGAGTATACGTGACGTATGCCCTGATGTCGCGGTCGACGGTCGTCGGATTCATGTCGTGAAGGTAAAGGATATCCCGATACGAACTTGCATCCACCCTATTGAAAGTGGAGACGATTCCACTCACAGGGCGGCTGGTCACGAAGAATTTGAGCCCCAATCCACGAAAGGCTTCGAAATGCTCCAGCAGAGCACCGAGTATGGGGGAGGAGAACAGTTCGTTATCGGTGCATTCGTCGAGTGCGTCTATAATGATGACATGTAGTCCTCGACGCTCTATAGATATGCTCGCCTGGGCCATAGGTTCGATAATGAGTTTTCGGAGCTGGGTTTCAAGTGCCCCGAAAGTAGCAAAAGGCTTCGCGAGAACGTCGATGAGTTTCTCCCCATATTCGGGTATGCCAAGAGAAAGTTGGTAGGCGATAGAGGGGAATATGCGCTTGATATCTCTGGTCTCGTCGAAATCGCGAGAGCAGAAAAAGCCAGCACGAAACAATCCCTTATCGCGTGTGTAGTCCGCTAGGCTGATTGAGATGGTTGTCTTGCCCGTGCCAGCCATCCCGTTTAACCAGAAGATGCGGTGGTCTTCTGGATCACTGATCCAGAGTTTCAGCTTTCCGAGTACTTCTGCACGGGTGTCTCCAAAGCACTTCGTCCGGCTCTCGATCGCCTTCTCGAACATCGCCAGACTGCTGTACGGAAGTTTGTCAAGTCGTTGAGCGTCCGCTGGCATCCAATTTGTAAGTAGAACTCGCAGCTCGTGGTTGCATTAGTGAACCTACCCAGCTCCTGGCAAAGGAAAATTTGTTCGGTTACAAAGTTAGCTTGTGGATATGGAATCGTTGTGTTCACCTTCAAGTACACGTGATCTTGCCGCTGCATATCTAGCTGATATTCCGCAATGGCGACCCTAATCTGATTGACGCAGTCCTCGAGGCGGGCATTGTCATCTGCACTATTGGCAAGCCGCATTAACATCCCTTGCTTGTGTAGTCGTCCCAGCTCTTGCGTAATTTCTCCCAAGCGCCTGCGCAGGTCCAATACTCGAAGTTAGATCGGTACTGTGGATTGGGACCATGTTGTCAGCTTACCTCTGCAATTGCCCTCTTCGCTCGTTCTCCCGCCGATCGCCTCCCGGAATAGGTTCTTCGAACTGGATCTCGAGGCGTGAGAGCCATTTGTTGATATCTGCATGCCTCTCCTTGTTATCCGCGGTTTCCTTAAAAACGGATGACAGTAAGCGCAGTCTCATCGAAGCAGAATCGATCCAAGAACGTCGACGCTTACATCTACAATCTTCAGAATCTCGATGAGCGCCAAAACTGGTGCCTTTGCTACGGGAAAGGCCTCGGTTGCTATACCGCCAAACTTCAGAGCGATCTTGAACCAGGTATATATTTGATGGATGCAGCTAGTAGGCGTAGACTCGGAGTCATCTTCAATTCTGGAGTCACTCATAGTGGGCGGTCTTGGAAAGAGGCAGGGACAAGATGGTATGATTAGCTGCAGAGAGGCGATGGTTGCAGTGGGGGCGAGGAGCAGGCCTATATCTGTTGCACTGAGGTGATATAGATAATCCAAATACCTTGCGCCCATGTAGACATGCTAAATGATGTACTCACATGCCCTCTTCCTGCGCGCACTGCTCCCGGGGATAAACTCCATCTGGCCTCTGCCCTGTCTGGTTATCTTCGACGTGGTCGCTCGTAGCTTTCCTGCCACCATTTTAAGGCTCTGCTAAATTTGGTTCAGCGTCCCACTCATCACGCTTATGTGTATGTGCGCTTCGCCCAATGATTCCTTCTTCAAGACGCCCCACAATTCCCTCTTCAAGACGCCCCACAGTTCCCTCCGACGATACGATGCTAGGTTGTGAAGGCTGTTACGTCTTGAACTGCGCCTAGAGATCCGGCAACGAATAATCCCACCTACAAGGAAATGCGAAACACAAAACAATCAGTGCATATTCCCATCGATATCAGCAATCCTCAACTTTTGTGGCTGGTTCGGGTGTGTAAGGCTGGCGACTTGCGCCATACCTCGCCGAACCCTGCCATACCCACCACAGTTTTGTATGGTACTACACTTCGTGACAGTCCATGACCCAACAGGTCGAGGATGATCCGATGTATAATTGATAGTGATTCAAGAGAAGATGTCGAAGAAAAAATAACAATCCAACCGAAGAAGTAGCTCGACTCGGAGTCGAACCGAGATCCTTCTCTCCACCCATATAAGACAACTAGAACGCGATGCAAAGTGGGAGAGACGCATTGCCGTTGCGCTATCGAGCTATGGTTATAGCTAGATTATGGAGCCTAGATAAAATAACGCAGAACAAAGGAGTCCACAGAAAGTCCCCAAGTCTGAGCTACTCTTTCCTTCAAAAAGCGAGAGAAAGGGGAGAGAAAGGTGAAGACCAGCATATTCTTGAAAAAATTGTACGGTTTGAGGAACAGGCACGTTACATAGCTCAACTCGGAGTCGAACCGAGAACTTTCTGTCAACTGTCTTGTTCGCTCTGGAAGATCAGAGATAGATGCGCTACCGTTGCGCTATCGAGCCATGTCCATAACAAGGCGACCTCTACGATGGACCACTTCCGATCCTAGGTTCCTCGGTTTTCAATTGATGAAGATTCAAAATCCGGAAGAAGACAACACGTAGGCGATCCCCAAGTCCGGGCCACTCGTCCCTCCAAAACAAGAGAAAGGGAAGACAAAGGGGATGCAACCATCAATACAAAAAAGTCGCAGCAAAGTTTCAGACGTAGCTCGACTCGGAATCGAACCGAGATCTTCCCGTCGACCATAACGAACACCGTGAATGTTGCAAGTGGACGAAGACGCGCTACCGTTGCGTTATCGAGCTATTCTTCCACATCTCTCAAGATGGACAGGATGATCATACCCCAGAACGCAGAACAAAGCAACCTACAGAGAGTCCCTGAGTCAGAGCCACTCTGTTCACCCCAAGCAAGAGAGAGGAAGACAAAGACACAAAAAGTGATGGATTGAATCTGGATGTAGCTCGACTCGGAGTCGAACCGAGATCTTCCTGTCAACCATAACGAACACCATGAATGTTGTAAGTGGACAGAGACGCGCTACCATTGCGCTACCGAGCTATATCTCTGCGTCTCACAGGATGGATAACTGAGTGATGACCCAGGAAGTAGAACAAAGCAGCATGTAGGCGACCCCGAGTCTGTCAATGTGCCACTCACTCCTTCCTTCAAAAGTGAGAGGAAGGGAAGGAAAAGGTCCAGGGAAGATGACCATCGGTATAAAAAGTCAAGTTCGCGTTCCTACTTACGTAGCTCGACTCGGAGTTGAACCGAGACCTTTCTGTCAACCGATATTTGACCTGGATCTATTGGGAACAGACGCGCTACCGTTGCGCTATCGAGCTATAGTTCTATGTCTCCCAAGACGGATATTTGAGTGATGGCTCAGGAAGTAGAACAAAGCAGCATGTAGGCGGTCCCCGAGTCTGAGCCACTCCTTCCTTCTTTCATAAGCAAAAGAAAGCGAAGACAAAGGGAAAGAGAACGAAAGTGTAAACACAACGAATCCAGTAGCTCGACTCGGAGTCGAACCGAGACCTTTCTGTCAACCGATATTTGACCTGGATTTACTGGGAACAGACGCGCTACCGTTGCGCTATCGAGCTATATCTCTGTGCCTCTTACCGCGGATAGGTTGATCACGTCCAAGGAATCTGCACCTAAAGCAAGGCGAGTCGTGGCAGCCCAGACATGAGGCAAGACAAAGGCAAGACCGAGAAAAGATAACCATCAACACACAAAAAAAACAGGAAACGATCTGTCACGTAGCTCGACTCGGAGTCGAACCGAGATCTTCCTGTCAACCATCACGAGCACCGCGAATGTTGCAAGTGGACAGAGACGCGCTACCGCTGCACTGTCGAGCTATTCTTCTACACCTCCCAAGACGGATAGGATGGTCATACCCCAGGACGAAGAACAAAGCAGCCCATAGGAAGTGCCCCAGTTCGAGCCACTCTGTCCATCCGATTCAGAAGCAAAAGACGAAACAAGACAAAAGAAATAAGAACAAAAAGTGTGAAAAAGCTAGGCTATGAGGGTACCCATAGCTCGACTCGGAGTCGAACCGAGATCCTTCTCTCCACCCATATAAGGCAACGAGGACGCGATGCAATGTGTAAGAGACGCACTACAATTGCGCTATCGAACTATTCTTCTACATCTCCCAAGACGGATAGGTTGGCCATATCCCAAGACGCAGAACAAAGCAGCACATAGGCGACTTTCGAGTCAGAGCCACTCTGTTCATCCCAAGCAAGAGAGAGGAAGACAAAGACACAAAAAGTGATAGATGAAATTTGGATGTAGCTCGACTCGGAGTCGAACCGAGACCTTTCCGTCAACCATGACGAACACCGTAAATGCTGTAAGTGGACAGAGACGCGCTACCGTTACGCTATCGAGCTATAACTCTGTATCTCCCAAGATGGATCACTGAGTGATGGCTCAGGAAGTAGAACAAAGCGGCACACAGGCAGTGCCCGAGTCTGAGCCACTCACTCCTTCATAAGCAAGAGAGAGGAAGACAAAGACATAAAAAGTGATGGATGAAATCTGGATGTAGCTCGACTCGGAATCGAACCGAGATCTTCCCGTCAACCATAACGAGCACCGCGAATGTTGCAAGTGGACAGAGACGCGCTACCATTGCGCTACCGAGCTATATTTCTATGTCTCCTAAGACAAATAACTGAGTGATGGCCCAGGATGTAGAACAAAGCAGCATGTAGGCGACCCTGAGTCTGAGCCACTCACACCTTCCTTCATAAGCAAGAGAAAAGGAAGACAAAAGAAAATAGAACGAAAAGTGTAAAGATCATCACAAAGACAGTAGCTCGACTCGGAGTCGAACCGAGACCTTCCCGTCGACCATAACGAGCACCGCGAATGTTGCAAGTGGACAGAGACGCACTACAATTGCGCTACCGAGCTATTCTTCTACACCTCCCAGGATGAATGACTGAGTAATGGCCCAGGATGTAGAACAAAGAAACCCACAGAGAGTCCCCGAGTCTGAGCCACTCGTCCCTCAGAAGCAAGAGAAAAGGAAGACGAACGAAAATAGAACGAAAAGTGTGAAAAAACTAGGTTGTGCAAACGGGATCCAGTAGCTCGACTCGGAGTCGAAACGAGATTATCCGTCAACCATAAGGTCCACATCAACCCAATATCAAGAACAGAGACGCTACCGTTGCGCTATCGAGCTATAGTTATAGCAAGGCGATCTCCACGATAGTCATTTTTACCCGTACTTACGATATTATATCCCGGGAGGAAGAACAAAGCAACCGGCAGGATAAAAGAAAGGTCAACCGTAGGATGGCACGTAGCTCGACTCGGAATCGAACCGAGACCTTTCTGTCAACCGATATTTGACCTAGATTTACTAAGAACAGACGCGCTACCGTTGCGCTATCGAGCTATGTCTATAGCAAGGCGACCTCAATCATGGAGCACCTCTGATTGCATTTCTCCCAGAGTCCGGAGGCCAAAACGAAGCAGACCACAAGCACTGTAACCGGCAGAGCTAGACTCGATAGAGCTTAAGCCAGAGAACAGAATAACAAAGGAACGGTAAAAGAGATACAACTATCAATACAAAAAGTCACTGGAAGATTTCGGACGTAGCTCGACTCGGATTCGAACCGAGAACTTTCTCTCGACAACTAGGACGCGATGCAAAGGCAAAGTGGGAGAGACGCGATACCGTTGCGCTATCGAACTATAAGTAACTCTAGCGGGATGTCCCCCAGCAAGCATGGATCAATGCTAATCACATTCATCCTAGAGCCCGGGATGCAAATCAAAACAACGCACAAGCATCGGTAGAGCTGGCCTCGAGAGAGCTTCAGTAAGAGGAAGAGAACGCAAATGAACACAAAAAGAAATATAGCACGTCATCTATAGGTAGCTCGACCCGGACTCGAACCGAGATCTTCCGTCAACCATTAAGTAGGTCCGCATCAATCCAGGATCGAGAACAAACGCGTTACCGTTACGCTATCGAGCTATGACTATAGCTCGATATCCTCTGCGACAAATTGGTCAAGATGTTGGAAACGCGAACATAAAGCAAAGCGAGGCAACGTATGAGTCTCCGAGTCGGGTGCGGCGAGAACGTTGACCAGAAAGAAAGCGCCAGCAGTCCATCATGAGCAGAAGAAAGATAGTGACACCGAGAAGACTAGAGGGAAATAGAGAACTAGACAACGACCCTCGAGAGCTGTCGGCTGTCGTGGAGGTTGAGAACAAGTTGAAAAGTTTTATGCGCCACCGCGACGTGGTTCTCGCCGGTCGGGCCGCCAGCCGGATTTCCGAACGGACCCGATCGACTCCGACGCGCTTGTTTTTGGCGTAAGTTTTTGACATTGAACGACCATCGCTCGAGTTCTCTCCTGGGTTTTCGTTGGTGTTGTCGATGTGCTCTTAGGTCTAGCATGTTTCTCATCGAACTGCTTTATTTGCTCTCGCAACTCGCAAAGCCCACCTTTACGTTCTGTCTCTAGCCTCTCGAGTCTCCGAACTCGAACCCGCGACCTCCGAGCCTGAGCCTAAGTTCCTGACAGATCGTGGATCTCTCTCTGAGTCTCTCGGTCGTCCCAATCTTCAAATGGCCAGCTTCTCTGTGCACTTTACTCAATACTAACAGAGTTACAGCCGTTTGCATATGAGATCGGAGTGATGCGCGCAGAAAAAAACCGGCGCGCCTCGACCAAACAAAGCCATAAATGGCACCCTTCTCGGCACACTTCGGCAGTGGCACTGAAGGTATTTGGCTCTTTGGGTCTCTTTCGACAGCCACTGTGCACAATTCTCTATGTATCGTAGGTATCTTATTGTAAGAAAAATAAGTGTATTATGTCGACAAAGCGAGCATGCAGCTTAGAGACACGTAGCGGCTATTACAGGTATACCAGAACGCATGAAACGACGCCGGCTGGTCAACTCGAAGTACATTCAATGTTTGAAGACAGGTGAATTTGTCGTACAGGGATGTGTCCAGATGTTGTATGCTTGATCTGAAGATTCGTAGGAGCAGAAACCATGGAGTTCGTACCAAGGGTGGGGGAACCTCGACCGTAACGGCGGCTGTATGAGCATGAGTGCTCGCCCCGAATGTACACTCGGACAGGCAAGAAACCAAAGCATATAGAACGGAAACGCGACTCACAGAGATTTCTATGTCAGCCATCTGGCAATTTTCCGACAATCTGAACTCCTGCGATTGCTTCCATCCGTCATCACAAAATCCTGTATCCTTCACCAGTGCCTATGAGCTCTATGAGTGGTCATTAACCATGGAGGTTGCGAGAGGACTTGAAGAGGTGTGGAGTTGGTGACGAGCAATGAGTAACCCAGGCGGCTTGAGGAGTCTGGTCTTGGTCTGGTCAGCGTATGTTCGACGAGCTCGAGCCTAGTGAGCAAAGAGCGCGAGCAATTGCAGAACGACGACGAAGCAGAGCTGAGTATCAGACTCGTTCGCCACACAAGCCTGCCGAAGTCGCGCCGAAGTGGACTGCCGTTTATGGCTTTGTTTGGCTGAGGCACGCCATTTTTTTCTCCGCGCGTCACTCCGATCTCATATGCAAACGGCTGTATATTAGAGGCTCTCCTCGAGCTCGCCTCGAGCCGACCGGTGGGACGCTCGATGCGCCGCAACGTCATCGGTCCTCGGGGGATCCTCTTCAATCATCGCTCGGTGCTTGCTTTGACTCTCTCTCTGGCCCGAAATGGACGCTCGGGGCTTGATGTGGACATTTTGCATGTTGTGTTTGTTTAAGTCTTGGTGTAGTCTTCGAGTCCGGATTGTTATCGAGAGATAATTGCTTGGGTCTGGGATACATTGGCTGCTATACCCCCTAGTGGGTCAGCACTGGGCCTGCTTGCGACGAACTCTATAGATCTAGCGACTGGAGAAGAGGGCATTTATTTCTCCGTGAGCACCCTTCTCCGGGAGTGATGGTCTGGTCAAGATTGAAGTATACGAAAAGATCGGGACAGAGTCGCAGCTCGTTGTGAGGGACGCCATCCATCCGCATCATCAAGCACTTCTCGCTTCTCGCAGTCATTGTCATATCCTCCTGCTCCTCTCGATCACCGAGTCCCGTATAAGCCCATCGACAAGCTCGTCCTCGCCTTCTCTCCTCTTCCTCCCCTTGCGTCCTGTCCTCTATCCTCTAAGCCAGGCCACACTCCGCCACGCCACACGATGACGTTCGCCGTCCTCCGCGTGCTGCAGACCATCATTGGCGAAGCCATCGACGACATCGAACGCGTCTATTCCTCCGCCCACACCATCGCCCACGTCCCCTCTCCCTTCCCCGCCCACCCGCACTCCTCGCCCTCGCCCTCCTGCCCGCCCAGTCTCTTCTCCCTCTCCTCCGGCACGTACAATGATAACGGTACCGATGCAGACGCAGATGGAGACTGGGAGCTCGAGTCTGCGCCGACGTCCCCCCAGAGCCCCGCCTTTCCGAATTCTCCGATCCCGCCGCTTTTGCCTGGGTTACAACCTTCGCCTTCGCCCGATACAGGTCCAAGAAGCGAAAGATTGCATGATTCGGAACAGAAACATCGACTGGAGCCGATTTCTACTGGCAATGCTCCCTCGACACCGACTGCTATGATAGGGATGGGGCGCGTGGCTGTGCTCGAGGACAGGTTGAGATGTGAGGCGAGGGCGAAGAAATCGACGTAGTCGTTGCCTTTGGACCTGGTTGGGAATGGGTATACACAACGTCATGATCATGGGCAAGGTCAGGGTCAGGGTCTGATGGAGACGGGCGGGATGCTGAATAGGATGGGGGCTGGAACGAGCAATTTAAATGAGACTGCGCCGAATTTGTTGGGAGGCGATGGTATATTGGTCATTTGTCTAGTGCTCATACGCCGATCCAGACTCCGATTTCTACCTCGACTTCCACATCGACAGATCCGGGTAGGTATCGTCTTGGATCTGCGGCTGGGGATAGCTTCTACGATTCGCGGACGGGTGATGGATGGCGATTCGAATGGGCATGGGCATGAATGTTTGGCACCACCTTCACATATCCAGACGCATAACGAGGACTGGAGTGGGAATGGTTTAACACCGGAAGGTACCTTTCTGGATCCAATCATGTCTACTATGATTATTATCTGAGATCAAACCCTTCGCAGTACGATCGTCCGAACTCGATCTGTCCACTACGATTCAACCTTCCCCTTCCTCCACGACCGGCACGATCTCTTTCGTTTTCTTTCACATTCATTGATTATTCCGATGCAACACTCGTACTTCCACAAATCCAAGCGTGCATTTTCATATACTTATATAGCGACCTCAGACCGTTAGCAGCAAGGCATTCACGCCCGGTCCACTTGACGGTCCATGGCTGTCCCGGAGCTGCACGACCTCTGGCTTACTCAAAGTCTCAAGCATCCTGTCTGCATTTATGACTATCCTGACGGTAACATCTTTACGATTCATATGAAACAGCACGCCCGGACTGCGCCAGGCGGGGAAGCAAGCACAGACACACGTCGAGACCATTTGTGGCCTTGATTGCGATGATTACAGACATATTGTAATCGTCATACCTACATCCATCGGACAGTGTCTTCCACTCTTGCTGAGTAGTCTCGACTGACGTTTCCACAGACATATGATGATGGACGCTATTGTGCAGGGTGGGCACATTCCTTTCGTTCTCTCTACAAGGAACACTGGGACCAGTCTCGCACATCTCTTATCTACTAAGGACACTGCCTGCGTATGTACCTCCTCGGACGCTTCATTGCAAAGGATTTTTACCCAAGCTATGCAGATTATCGGCAAGGACGGGAATCAGTTCCTGACGTCAAATTTCGAAGACTTTCAGGTCAAATTGAACGCCGCTTCTCTTCTTCCGTCACTAGTCCCTCCGTCGATGTCTAGCGTGGCTACCATACTTCACTCTTCCAGTAAGCATCCTTCGTCGTCCTCTCAGCGCATTTCCTGTCGGGCAACTGTAGGAATGTCATTCCCTGTTCTGATCTGCAGGTATACGGACTTACTTACCCAGTTTCCCCTTACCTTGAATATGGTCATCCCTAGGTCTGACCCAGAAGACATACTTCCGGTGGAGTACTCTCTTGTGTTATGGAAAAACAAATCTACGCGGAAAACTTATGGCTTGTCAATCCGTCCCTATCTTGTGAGCCACACTAATGAAGGGAGTTTTACTTTAACTGATAATCGTAAATTGCGGTATACCAGCCATGGTATGGGAACATGCCTGACGTGCTGGCCCACATCAGTCAATATTGTGGGAGCTTTTTCCCGGCCTTTAGGCTGAATAGTGGCTTCGCCGCCGTGATCTGCGAAGCAGTGGGCGCTTATCTAGCTGAGAAGCTCGCCTCCTTCGGACAGCACCTTGCTGCTCGACATCAGTATTTCTGCTTTAACACATTGACCGTGACACTGCTGCAAACATCTCATGGATGGATTGGTTTTGCGGGGAAACAGGAGCCAATCTACTTGTAGTTCAAATGCCTCTAACACTCCGGAAGATCTTAAGCATCTTTAGCGGGTGCTGATTTAGACTCGTGGACCAGTACCCGCAGGGTTATTTATCTGAACGACTGTCTTCGGATCCAAACACGCTCGTTCGTGGGACTGGTTTCGAGTCTAGTGCGGATTCGAATTGGGGAGGCACCAGTAAATAGTACAAGGTTGCAGGACTCCTTCTTTCGTTGCACTTTCACCGCTATCTGACCATATTCGTACAACCCATACCGTTCTCACTCCAGGTCATCACATTTCACGGGTCTTGGCGAGGTAAACATATTCAGGAAGGGGCATACAGTTAACATACTAGTGATGTCGCGAAGTCGCGGATAGATAAACTCACCTCTTTATCTCGTCAATTTCGCGTACCTCGGAGAGTACACTTCAGGCCGTTGACATTTGTCCCCTTTTACGAATTACGGGAATGCAAAGCGAGTCCCATGGCGAGAGTCGGGGCTCGTAACCTTTAGGCACGTGGATTATTCCATCGAATGGCGAGCATTGCTTAATGTTTGAATAATTCATCCATTTCGTAGACACGTAGAGCTTCAGATACCCTACGTTGACGTCTCGCTTCTGACGTAGGCGGCATAGTCGTATTTCCCCACCGTCTGATCCATATTCGATCCTAAGTTGATCATGAGCGGGTACAGAATACTTGGAACGGTCGTCCTTAGAAGATCCCGGCTCGTAGTAGGAACCTGTCAAAAAGTACGATCAGGGTGCGATCCGACATATCACTGGAAGCGATTTCAGACAAATTATACAGAGGCTTACTGATGCTAAGATCCTCCATGTCGAAGTAAAATAAGGCGACATAGAGGGGCATGTCCGTCTTATTCAGAACTGCGAATACAAAGGTCGTGTCGTCTTCATCGTCATTCAACTCAAGATGATTCTGCTCCATGACCAACTTCTTATCTTCGCGATCTCCCTTACACTCGTAGCACTCCAGAAGGTCGTTCATCAGCCCCATAAAAAGATGGACCTTGGGAGAGCGATGAAGGTGCAAGTAAAAGTCTGCAGCGCTAGATAGAATAGCGATGATGCGGGCGAAGGGTGTATGCCGAGCCGTGGACTCGTAGGTCACCGTGTCACGCAACTGCGTCAACCTGTTGTCACGGCATAGCTTGTCGCGGATTTCGAAGGCAACTGCGCCATTCCTGTCCTCGACCAGCGTGAGACTATGATTGGCTCTGGCTCTGGGATAGACTTTGACGGGGATGTCTTTGAACTTTCCAAATAGAAGGTGCTTGACGGCGTCAGAAATGTGTGAGAGCTCAGTTGGGATAACGATCTCGAACTTCTTCTCTGGTCCCAATTTTTTGAGTACCCCGTAAGCCGTCTGTGGAGCATCGAGAGTATTGAGCGGAGAGGGGACGAGAATGGTATAGCCGGTAGGGTTTGTGACCGACTGGACGGTGAAGTCTCCTAGCGGGCAATTTTCCTCGTCGAGGACACGGAATACTGAGCCCTCTGTAACCTCACATGTTTCGTAAACAGGCAGGCGATAGGCGTTGATCTTTGTGAGCACGTAAAAGTCGTTCTGTGAGTGCTGAGAAGTTTCGGACCTGAGGATAGATGGCAGCGAAGGGGTACGTTCAAACTTCAGACACGATCAAATCTTTCTAACACAACAACGCAGGGCGCTCACCTGTTACCGGGACGCAATGCATAAGCAACTGAAGGAAGGCCGGTCGATGGACGGTGAAGGTCGGTCTGGTATATTTTACCACAGGGGATGAGCTCGGCAGTAGAATTGGTTGCAGCGATGATAATGAATTCCCCCAAAAAGGGCCATCCGTGACGACCGTCATGAGTATGGACGTCGTATGTAGAGCCCTTGGTCAGGCCGAAATGGGTGCCAAGATCAACATGGTAGGCATCAATTCTCGAGAGCTTCTGGAATTCTTGCTCCGGGATGTGACTCGTGGTCATAAAGATATGTCTATCTTGATGAAAACCCACACATTGCGGAGTCTGTCTGCTACGAAGGAAATGAGATTAAGACAAACTCATCCCATTTGATACATTAGATTGTGTGGGCTAAAAACTATGGGACATACTAGTCGAAGGGACCGAGAAGACTGATGAGTCCCCTGTATGTGATTCTCTTCTGAGCGGAAGTCCGAAGATGGTGGAGTAGAGCGTTTGTAAAGTAACCACCTGTCTTATCTTCGTAACAGAATCCCCTAGGATCGCAAGCCGCGAGCAGGACATGGGAGTGGAGATCGGACAGGTAAAGCTGTGTCATATCCACGGAAGGTTCCCCTGGCTCGGGGGAGATAGGAGGATAAGGATGGTCACAGTAGTCCGGGGCCAAACCACGTAGTAACGTTGTGCCGACCAGTCGTGTTCCCCCGCCGCGGTAACCGCAGTCTAGAATGACCGTCTATGATGGAAACCATGCAGATGTAACTCACTTTTCAGATCGAATCGACTTGATGAGAGGTCAACTCACGATATTGTTACCTTTAGCCTCGGAGATCCTATTGAGATGAGCAGCCAAACAAGCGGTTGGAATTCCTCTGGGGTCAGCTTTAGAAAAATCGTAAGGGCAGAGTATTTGGATCCTAGACTCTGGGTTTCTCATTGGATGGAAGTTCCGTGAATTCGGTAAAGCCTGCATGCCATGGCCAGAAAAGTAGATGAGGATTGGATCTCCCTTGTCGATTTTTTCATTTTTGGCTACCGATTTCAGCTCGTGGACGATGTGGTGACGGGTTGCATCCTCGTCTCGTAAAATTATAAGGTGCTCAGGACTGACGTTACTATCGCGCAAGAATTTCTCCATCGATTCGACATCGGCTCTAGATCCGGTGAGATCCGGAATATCGTGGGCCGCATACACACTGATTCCGATGATCAGTGAGAATATATTCTTGGGGAAACTATGAGATGAGTAGGTATCAGTGGCCATATCTCCAATGGAGGAAGAGACATCCTACGAGACATCTACAGCTGAAATGTGTTCACTATAGTCGTCATATGAGCACACTTTTGCCGATAAGCGAGGAGTGTGGTCGAATATCTCACGTAGGCAAGGTCGAGGGAACGGTCGCGCTACAGCCCTGCGACGCCACGGTCGAGGTGGCCATACGGAACATGAAAATCACCACTAAAGACCGTAAAATAAAATATCAGAATGAAAAGCTAGAAAATATGGCACAGAAGGACCGCCCTGAGATGGTGCAGTGGGCTGATGCGTGCAGATTGAGGCGCAGCACCGAAGGGCAGAAGGGCGAGCGAATATATCTCTATATATGTTCTACGATGTCCTTCTAACTTTGAATATCAGGACGGTCATTGGACGATTTCGAGCTCCTGGCATTCCCAAACAAGGAGTATCGTGGTTATATTTGAGTGGCATCCGACCATAAGCGTGACGTATTGAATGTGGGTCCCGTCTTGTTGACGGAAAGAGTTGGGAAAGAGTTAAATGTACTCAAGACCAAGACCATAGCATGTCATATGGTAAGCATTTTATGATACGGGCGCTGGATACCCACTGGCCTTGTGCGCGAGATTCTCTACTGCGGGACTTCGTGCTACACCGTATAGAGGATATGGTATACCAGAGTACGCTCCATCTCTACCCCATTGATCGTGTTACGTCCACATGCTCCAGTCGTGGGCTAGATATGAAAAATGGAAGCGGTCGAAAGGATATGCTGAGTGAGAACGAGGTCATCACATGCATCACAACTGAGCTCCTAAGGTTTTCCTTGCCATCTGTGTTCTGAGGTGGATCGGACCTCTGTGGTGGTTGCCGGGGTTCCTTGCATGCAATTGAGTGTGATGCTGGGAACTCAACAGAGTATAGATCCAGCCATGACCGTTCTGTGTCCTCAGAGTGTTTTCTATCTTTTCCTCGATTTATTGGATGATGGTTGTTCCGCGCAGCCTACACACTCCACTGGCAGCGCCAGTTAATATATAATATAAAGAATGGAAGCTGTCGAAATCGTGTGTTTAGTGAGACCGGGTCATCACATGCATGACAGTGTTCCCGTATTCTTCACACACAGTTTGAATTGTATGATAGGGTGAACCAGGTATGGAACGCAATTGCACCCAATGTGAATTCTTACCGACGAGCACTATTTTTGCTATCTACTACTCAGCAATCCAATGATACGCTAGAGATTGCAAAGGTCGTCCATATATTTACTTTCACTCACAACGTGAATGGATACATCTGCCCTCATCCAACCTTTGTATCCTGCAATAATGGCGAACACCACAAACAGCCGAGACCATGATTCTATTCCACTTAAGCACAGTGTGCGGCGGGCAACAGGGCAAGCACTTCACGGGTTTATCGCTGTCGGAATAAGGACTTGAACCACCATCTAGGCACATAACCTCGGACGAGAACTCAAGGAACGACTCGACGCAGTACGCCACACTTCCCCGTTTACTTTGTCCTCCATCGCAATTGTATATAACACCTTTCATAGCGATCTGTTGACAGGATTGACGGAATTGATGGACAGGATGGTGAAATATCAAGTCACAGCAATCGGTGGGTGTTAATCCCTTCTCGTATGGCAGATATAGATAGTTCTTCACGTAGCCGATATTCTACGACATAGAAATTCTCAAGCGCATGGACGATAGACAGGATGAACATGGTAAAATGTCATTTCATTCGTAAGAGCCCTATAAGTAACTGAAGCTTTCTGAACTAGATACCTCAAGGAAGGCAATACCCGAAGTCCCAGCGCACAGCTCGAGTGCTTGGAATCCATTATTGAAATCGACTTTGGATGATATCATCAAACCTGACCTTCAGCGATGGACGAGCACGTTGGATACTCTTCTAATCTTTGTGAGACATGCCTTTCTGGTATCCTCGATTGATCTCATTGCTCGGTAGATCGCTCTTTTCTCGGCTATTGTAACATCATTTCTGGTGCAGGCCTCTGGAGGACTTACCCAAGCTACGGGCGATCGCACAAACATAATTCTCTCCAATCTCACTGACATCATCATTCAACTTAACATTGCCAATGCTTCTCTGTTGAACGTTTCCTCGCCAGTTCCCTTTACGCCGGACAGTAGTGCCGTTCGTCTGAATTTATACTGGTCGCTTTCTCTCATCATCAGCGTAAGCCGTGTTAAAAAATATTGTCGTCATAATAATCTCACCACAATATTAGCTATGTGTCGCGTCCCTTGCAGTTACAGGGCGCGGCTACCTCACTTCTCTCATTCGGTATCACCGCAAACACGCACAAGCGCATCAGGAACTGGTCGAGGTCTACACTCGATGGAAAAACGCGAAGCGCCTCCTGCGCCCCATAATTAACGGACTACCTCAGGTCTTGCTTCTTGCTGTTATTTTCTTCGTCGTCGGTCTTCTTGATAGTTTTCTCTCGAGCGCTATAGCGCTTTCACCATTGTCAAAGCCAATACTCGGTGCAGGCATCATGTCCTCGGCACTTGTAGGTGCCTCAGCGATCATGATAGCCTCTACAGTCATTCATGGATGTCTATATCCATCTGTGTCTCCTTTCCAATCTTTTGTGTCTTCCTTCTCGTCAAATAAGGAAGGGAAAGCGTGGAAATTCCTGTCAAACATCTGGTTGAAGATTCTCTCGACAGCTCTTGTGCAAAGAATACAGCATGCATTGGTCATACTCGTTAACCTCTTGAGAAAGCTTGTATCTTGCATGATACATAACATCATAAGGCCCATCTGGGTGGTTCTATGTCCTGGGATTGCATACACCAAAAGTGTACTCTCTGCACGTCTTACGGGAATGATCCCCGTGCTCCGTGATTCTGATGGCGTCTCATCAAACTCTGTCAAGGAAGACATTGCATCAATGGTCGAGATCTACCATACAACACTATGCCTTGCACATAATGAAGAGCCTGTCGACAGCGCTACAGCGGCTTTGTGGAGCGTGCTAAAAAGTGCACGGAATTTTGATTCATCATTATCTATATGGCATCCGGAAGAGATGGTCGTGAATACTTTGGAGTACTTGCTCTCACCGCGGTGTAGTCAGCGTGCAAATTTGACCGCCGCTGCGACAACGCTGAAAATCGTATCCGAAGGTGTGTTTAATATTTCTCTGGCTTTCAATCTAAAATTCAGTCCACTTAACATCCTCCGAACTCATTCAGACAAAATCACGCTTTCTATTACCAACAAAGAAAAATGCAGATTGGCCAATGCACTCCTTGGAGCCGCTGTTCAAGATCGTCACACAGTTTCCTATAGAAATGCTTGCGAACGGCTATGGTCCTCGGTATATGTGCAGGCCTTGATGAGCATCCTCATTGTTGAAGATGATAGATCGTGTGTTGTGCGCGATAGGGCACCTTTATTCGGTCTGTTATTTGTGGATGATAGACTCTTCAGGGCAAACGAAAGCCCGTATCCAAATGATGTCAATGAGATTCTTCAGTCTATCAGATCCGAGGCTTTATTGATGATGGCACAATGTCTCCACGGAGAAAAGCTGGAACTTTCCAAGTCATCCGAAAACTTAGAGACTCTCCTATCCCCCCTTGTGCCACTGCACAAGCATGTTTTCCTCATAAATCCCGCAGCTACCGCTTCGCTGATGGACTTGCTGGATAAAAGTAGTGGCTTTGAAAAGGCTGTTTTGAGGAACATATTTTGTTGGCTCTGCAGACACGGATGCATACCCTTTGTAAGGGTAGCATTGGAACCAGCACGGATGTCCAAGATCCGAACAAGATCGGACATCGAGGATTTCAACTCAGTACTCTCCGCAGTGACCCAGCTCGACAAAATTGATGAATCCAACACCACAGCATGGGAAAACTTTGATCCAGATTTGGAGGGCCAATTGGACATAAACTCCCTCATCCTTGACTCGTTGATTCATCTGGTCACACACAATGTCGAGCAGCTCCACTATTATGTGAAAAATATCAAAATGATTTGCGAAGCAGTTGCGAAACGTACAGAAGTTTCGGGACTTCCGAATACAACCTGGTCCGACGTCGTGTCTGCACTGCAGTCCCCTAAAACCGTGGGGAAAAACAATAAAGCAAAATCCGAAATTCTGGATACCATTCAAGAATTCCATCAGCGCATACCTGATGCTGCCGGTGCGTATCATTGCAAGTAATTCGCTGAATGCTAATACGAGCTCAACGTTGCCGACCGTTCACGATTTTGTATAGACACCTCGCCATCAGTCACATCGTAATCACAGAGCCCAGAAACGTCTATAGCCGAATCGTAAAGGGCTCTTCATGGATTCAATCTCTCTTTTCTCTCGAGAAAGTCTGTTGTGATGTACTTGTAGATTTTATACACTGCTCTAGCCATAGATTCCAGTGAAAGTTACCCACTCTATGCCTATCCATAAGCTACGGTATCACTCTCATCGTACGAATAGCACGCACCGGATAATTATAGCGTTGCTAAAGACGTGTTGGAACTTAGGGCGACGGGTGTGGTTCTGGCGGTCGAGTTGGCTGTGGATGTGGCGTTGATTTCGTTCTGGCTCTTTGGGGTTTGCGTGGCGTTTTCGTCAAATCGGGGTCGTCGTAAGGCCACGGATACATCGAATATGCGGTTGCCGTACGATTCTGAATAAAGAGGAAGGTATTATGATGGGGGTGGGAATACGAGGCAATGATAGAGCAGAGTCAGCTTGTGGTCGGTGTTGGATGGGAAATGCGAGGTTTGACGTTAACTCACCGTTGCACTACGGACCATCACAACACTCTCAACTCTCGACCTCTATCTCAAAATCCATCTCCACGCGGAGCTCAAGACGAGGATAGCTTGCATGAAATGTTTGTTTGTTACTGAGTTGATTAATGAGTGCTATCCGATGGAGAAAATCGGAAATGAAGGTATATGGGATAGGAAGAACTGGGGGATGAGAGGTGGAGATGGCGAAGGCGACCAAGGATGTAAGAAAACGTACAGTAACGAGACCAGTACTAGAAGGGCAAGCAGCGGTTATAGAGCGTAGTGTGGTGTAACTATCTGAGGAACCAAGTCAAAGTCAGAGTGAGGCCGTATCTGAGGACCTATACACGCGCACATACATTGACAAAATGCAACCATGAATATAGAAAGGAGATCGCGAACTCATGGACGTAGCTCGACTCGGACTCGGACCCGAACCGAAACCTTACCTTCAACAATCGCCTGTCTAACAGTGCCACGAACTGGGCAGGATGCGCTACCGTTGCGTTATCGAGCCATGACTATCGCCAGATGTCTCCTCTGTAATGGACCAGTCCAGATCTGTGAAATCTGATCACAGAAGAAGGCGATCTCGAGTCTGAGCCACTCACTCCTTCATAAGCAAGAGAGAGGAAGACAAAGACACAAAAAGTGATGGATGAAATCTGGACGTAGCTCGACTGGGAGTCGAACCGAGACCTTCCCGTCAACCATAACCACCCAGGATGGATAACTCCATCGTGGCCCAGAATCAGAATGTAGAACAAAGCAGCATGTAGGCGACCCCGAGTCTGAGCCACTCCTTCCTTCCAAAGCGAGAGAAAGGTAAAGACCAGCCTAGGCTTGAAAAAATAGTACGGTCTGAGGGACAGGCACGTTACATAGCTCGACTCGGAGTCGAACCGAGAACTTTCTGTCGACTGTCTTGTTCGCTCTGGAGGATCAGAGATAGATGCGCTACCGTTGCGCTACCGAGCCATGTCCATAACAAGGCGACCTCTACGATGGACCACTTCCGATCCTAGGTTCCTCGGTTTTCAATTGATGAAGATTCGAAATCCGGAAGAAGACAACACGTAGGCGATCCCCAAGTCCGGGCCACTCGTCCCTCCAAAACAAGAGAAAGGAAAGACAAAGGGGATGCAACCATCGACACAAAAAGTCACGGCTAGATTTCGGATGTAGCTCGACTCGGAGTCAAACGGAGATCTTCCCGTCACCCATTACTTGAAAACTCATGGACGGAGTAAGTGGACGCGGACGCGCTACCGTTGTGCTATCGGGCTATATTTCCATAGCTCCCAGGACGAATAAGTGGATCATACCCCAAGACGCAGAACAAAGCAGCATGTAGGCGACCCCGAGTCTGTCAATGTGCCACTCACTCCTTCCTTCAAAAGTGAGAGGAAGGGAAGGAAAAGGTCCAGGGAAGATGACCATCGGTATAAAAAGTCAAGTTCGCTTTCCTGCTTACGTAGCTCGACTCGGAGTCGAACCGAGATCTTCCGTCAACCATAAGGTCCACATCAATCCAGGATCAGAAACAGACGCGCTACCGTTGCGCTATCGAGCTATAGTTATAGCAAGGCGATCTCCACGATAGTCATTTTTACCCGTACTTATGATATTATATCCCGGGAGGAAAAACAAAGTGTTATGAACTTTTTGTAGTACTATAAAATATATTAGTATTCTTACCTACGAATGCATGAGCGAAATAAAAACAAAAACACCCTCGCCACAAAGACTGCAGACGAGTCAAATCAGCGATGATATGAATCGGCTACCGGTCCGGCGATCTTACTTACGCCACTTCGCGCGGGCCACAGTACTGATCTCTATCGAGATCATCTCCCCCTCGTTCCTTACTCTCCTCTTCGAGTCGCCTTTGATCTTGTGCTGCTCAGTAATACTCACCTGATTATTACTGTACTGATTACTGAGCGAGTTCTTTATCCCTGCGTCTTCATTCGTTGCTCTTGAATGTGGCTTAGAAGGCTCACTTTTCTATTCGTCGACACATTCTATGGCGACATTATTTGCTCTTCGTACTTATTCATCTGGGTCATCTATGCTTACTCGTTTATTCTATCTCTGGATGTATATAAACTAGTAGCTACACTCGAATAAATCCCCAGACTTGTTCTGGTCTGTTTCCTCCCTTAGCCACCTCTTCAGCTTCGTCTCAACAAGTCAAGCGCGACCTAGAGAACCCTAATCGAGTCGTTGACACAAAGCAACCGGCAGGATAAAAGAAAGGTCAACCGTAGGATGGCACCCAGCTCGACTCGGAGTTGAACCGAGAACTTTCCGTTAACCTTTACGCTGGTCACCATACAGAAGACAGATGCACTACCATTGCGCTACCGAGCTATAGTTCTATAGCTCCCAAGACGGATAAGTGGATCATACCCCAAGACGCAGAACAAAGCAGCACACAGGCGACCCCGAGTCGGAGCCACTCTGCCCGTCCGAGGCAAGAAAATCCAAAGTATGACAAAGGAACTGCGACCATGAATATAAAAAAAAAGTGATTGTAAACTCATGGACATAGCTCGACTTGGATTCGAACCGAGATCTTCCCGTCACCCATTATCTGAAAATTGATAGACGGAGAAAGTGGACGCGGATGCACTACCATTGCGCTATCGAGCTATATTTCTATGTCCCCCAGGATGGATAACTCGATCGTGGTCCAGGATGTAGAACAAAGCAGCATGTAGGCGACCCCGAGTCTGAGCCACTCACTCCTTCATAAGCAAGAGGAAAATAGAACGAAAAGTGTGAAAAAGCTAGGCTATGAGGGTACCCATAGCTCGACTCGGAGTCGAACCGAGATCTTCCCGTCAACCATAACGAGCACCGTGAATGTTGCAAGTGGACAGAGACGCACTACCATTGCGCTACCGAGCTATTCTTCTATAGTTCCCAAGACGGATAAGTGCACGTGGGTAATGCCCCAGGATGTAGAACAAAGCAGTCCGCAGGAAATCCCCGAGTCTGAGCCACTCACTCCTTCCTTCATAAGCGAGAAAAAAGCAAGACAAAAGAATATGGAACGAAAAGGGTGAAAAAACTAGGTTGTGCCAACGGAATCCAGTAGCTCGACTCGGACTCGAACCGAGATCTTCCGTCAACAATCAAGCAGGTCCGCATCAATCCAGGATCGAGAACAAACGCGTAACCGTTACGCTATCGAGCTATATCTTATAGCTCGATATCCTCTGCGACAAATTGGTCAAGGTGTTGGACACGCGAACATAAAGCAAAGCGAGGCAACGTATGAGTCTCCGAGTCGGGTGCGGCGAGAACGTTGACCAGAAAGAAAGCGCCAGCAGACCATCATGAGCAGAAGAACGATAGTGACACTGAGAAGACTAGAGAGAAATAGAGAACTAGAGAACGACCCTCGAGAGCTGTCATGGAGGTCGAGGACAAGTTGAAAAGTTTCGTGCCGCGGTGTGGCTTCTCGCCGGTCGGCCCGCTAGCCGGATTTCCGACCGGACCCGATCGACTCGGGCGTGCGAATTTGTTGAAGGTGTTTTTGACGACCATCATTCGAGTCTTGCAGGTCTCCGCTGGGTTTCTGTCAGTATATATCGTCGATGCTGTCCCCTCGAACTGCTCTCTACAATATCCTACACTCGCGGACGTCCGTCCATACGCACCGTCTTTAGCTTATGCATATGGAGTTTGCGAATGCGAACCAGCCTGCGACTGCCTCCGAGCCTAACTAGTTGAACTTCATAGTTTCAGAATTCGACTCCCATTTGGACACTGACAGATCGTGGATCTCTCTCTCACTTGTCCAAACATTCAAATGGAACGCTCTGTCTCACTGTCAGCTTCTTTCTGTGGCTTTAATACTAATAGAGTTATAGAGGCTTCTCCTCGAGCCGACCAGTGGGACACTCGATGCGCCGCAACGTCATCGGTCCTCGGGGGATCCTCGTCAATCATCACTCGGTGCTCGCTTTGACTCTGTCTCTGGCCCGAAATGGACGCTCGGGGCTTGATGTGGACATATTGTTTTCTTACTGTTACTGTGGTGCTTGAATATTAGAGAATGATTGCTTGGGTCAGGGGACTAGTACTTGGCTGCTATCTATCTAGTGGGTATGCTTTGCGACGACTGGAAAGCGCGACACTCATCTCATACTTATTCTTCCGTGACTCTGAGCGTTTCGGGAGTGATGGTCAGCCCAAGATTGAAGTATGCGAAAAGATCGGGAAAGAGTCGCAGCTCGACGTGACGGACGGCTGCCATCCATCCGCATCATCATAGACTTCTCGCTTCTCGCTGGCATTGTCATCGACCAACGGATCCCGTATAAGCCCATCGACAAGCTCGCCCTCGCCCTTTCTCCTCTTCCTCCCCTCGCCGCTTCTGTCCTCTGTCCTCTACGCTGGGCCACACTCCGCCACGCCACGCCACACGATGACGTTCGCAGTGCTCCGCGCGCTGAAGACCATCATCGGCGAAGCCATCGACGACATCGAACGCGTCTATTCCTCCGCCCACGTGCCCTCTCCCTCTCCCTTCCCCGCCCACCCGAAAACCTCCGCCTCGCCCTCGTCTTCCTGCCCGCCCGGTCCCTTCTCCCTCTCTTCCGGTACAGATCCAGATGCCGACGCAGATGGTGAATGGGAGCTCGAGTCTGCGCCGACGTCGCCCCAGAGCCCCGCTTTTCCGGTTCAAGGTGCGTTTACTCCCACTTTGCGTCTCCTCTCCTCTCAATAGTTAACAATGCAAAACGGTGAATATTTTACGATGGATGAAGCGAGTTCTCAAGCTTGAGCACTCCTCCGTTTCGGAAATTTTCTTCCTCCATCGCAATCGTCAACACTCGGCATCCGCCCCTCCACGACCTCCCCGGTCTCTCCACGACCACGAGCTCCAATCCCTCCACTCCACGCTTATACTCACACCCCAACCCCACTGCGCCGATGCAAACCTCGCAACAGCTCCACAGTTGGCTCGCGATCAACGTTGAGTTGGTAGTGCATAGCCCAGGGTCGTATTCTAGGGAACATCTGACGGGAGTCGAGTACTGATTGGCCGTTTGCGAAACGTTGGTCGGGAGGATAGAGAATGCGGGCGTGGAGAACACGTCGAAGGGGTGCAGGAGTGTGGATGAAGGGGAAGGAGTTTGCAGCAGGCTTGTCAGAGGTTGATGGAGGAGAGGGTGAGTCGTCGATCGTCAGGTGGGTATCATATTCAGACGCGGGTGGCTGACGCTTTTGATTGATTGGTGTGGGATTGATTGGTAAAG